CTAAGGACCGTGAAATCGTAGCGAGAAAGTATGTATTACTGAACAGCCTACTCTGCTTCCTTTTCTTTTCGGATTGAGTATTGTAGTTTCAATTCTCTATTTTCAGGCTAAGAGAGCATGTTGAGGGGCCAGACAACAATCCTCTTCTTATATTTCCTGAAGGAACATGTGTAAATAATCATTACACAGTTATGTTCAAGAAGGTAATTGTTGTCTAACACTAGCTAAATCTACTGAAGATATTGAAAATTGGAAACTGCTCACAGCATACTTTTTCCTTTCTGTCATTAATCCTGTTTACAACTGTGGTCAAAGTTTAAATTCTCTATTGTCAGTTATTAAACAGTTTTTTATTTTTATTTTTATTTTTTATTTTTATTTGGGGTGGGGGTTGTGCAAGCTGTTGGGTCCTGCTTCTATGTTCAGCTTAGCGATGATTTCAGTTCTGCAAAAGCTTGGAACTTGTACTTTTCTCTGTTTTCCCCTGCAGGGTTTCAAACTCCTGTTCCTGCATTAGCCCTCCTTTTTCCTGTTATTTGGTGAATCTTAACCACATTTGAGGAAGTTCTTGTGGTTAACTAGGTCACAACTTATGTAATCTTTTTTTGTGATGGTTAGGGTGCTTTTGAACTTGGTTGCACTGTTTGCCCAATCGCAATTAAGTACAACAAAATATTTGTCGACGCCTTTTGGAATAGTAGAAAGTAAGATATCTTTATCCTGTCTCAACTTGGATTTTCCATATTATTGATGTTGAATGAGATTCTGCTCTCCTGTTGCAATGCTATCTGTAAAGCACGCATCTTTAGATGATTAAGCAGTGGTCATGTGATTAAATTGTTCACATCTCCCCGTTAGTAAAAAGAAAACCAATATGGCTTACTTCAATGACATGTTTCTTGTTGTTAGGCAATCCTTCACAATGCATCTGTTGCAGCTTATGACATCATGGGCTGTTGTTTGTGATGTGTGGTACCTGGAGCCCCAAAATCTGAAACCTGGAGAAACACCTATTGAATTTGCAGAAAGGTAGGTGGCTTTCTTGAATTGTGATGCTTAAATAATATTGGCGGTTTGTGTGCTGTTGGATTTCACTGGAGCCATATAATACTTCTTTCTCGGAGAAATCCTCTTGATAAAACAGGCTTAATTTCCATTGGCAGGGTGAGGGACATTATTTCTGTTCGAGCGGGCCTTAAAAAGGTTCCATGGGATGGATACTTGAAATATTCTCGTCCTAGCCCTAAGCATCGTGAGCGAAAGTAAGTTCTCAGTTGTTTAATTGCTTTCTTAAATTACCGTCTCCAGAACCGCCCCGGCTAAGGAGATGGTGCACAAAATTCTTGAGTTGATCTTTACGGGTCAATTTGTTCTTTTTTGGCGCAAGTTTTTTCTTCTCTGATCATTCTCGTGTATTCTGTCAATTTTAGGCAACAGAGCTTTGCAGAATCAGTTTTGCGCCGCCTTGAGGAGAAATAGGAGTATGATCCGACACGGTTTTTTTTTTTGGGCATGCGTAATTAAACTGGCAGGAATCAGAGGTCAAATGTTGATATGAAGTTCATTTTACTTTTTCTATTTAATTGGAATTATTTATTTGGATGACGTGCATTAAGCAAAGGGCTGTGACTTCTGGCTTGTAAGTGATTGATTTAGTTGAACCCATACAATTTTGGGCTGTGAGGGAGAAGATTGGTTTTGCCTGACACACGTAGTTGCTATTTTTTTTCGGAGACGATAAATCTATTTTATCCTATACTAAGGGGGAGGGGACGGATTTAAGGAGGTCCAGAGGTAATCCGGAGGAGACTGAACTACCATCGAATCAGACGGTTGCACAGCACACTCGCCTGAATTTTTTTAGAAACAAATCACTTAGATGTGACATTTTTTTGTGGAGTCAAGGTTTTTCACCCACTTAGGCGATGGCGATTAGCCCAAAGGCTGATGGTTTAGTTGCTTGTTATGAAGGATAAATTTTGTATGTTGATGATGCACGGTGGAGGACATGAATGTTTTGGTTATAAAGGGCAGAATATTTGTAGTCGAAAATTGGGGATGAAGGATTAATAAGCAGACTTTTAACTGACCAAGGAAGAACCACGAGGAGTTGTGCAAGAAACACTCGAAAGTAAAAAAGAAGAAGGGGTAGTTTCATAAATCACTCCTAAGGTTTTTGACAATTTTACTGGCCTTCCTTGAGATTTGCAAAATGACATTGACCTTTCCTAATAGAATTGTTGGTCTATTATTTGCTTACCTCACTTGGGAACAAAAAGAGTTGTTAGAGATTTCTTCAATGATGAATATTAACTTGCAAAAATTGCTATTACTAAATGGTGCCAATTGATATGCCAAATATTTATTCGCTTTTATAATAATGAATACACCAAACAATATTTTATTTGGATTTTTCTCACTCTAAAAAAATATGTTCAGATGCCTTGTGATTATGCTTGCAATATTAAATTTTACGATTCTCACCTTAGATTGATGAATCAACTTATATTTCACCTTCAACTCGCTAAATCCACACCAAATCACAGTACTGGATTTGTTTGGATATCAAATTTTTTCAAATAATATTTTGCTTACATCATAAATATATTTTGAATTCATTTTTTTATATTTTTAATTACTTTTTTATCTCATATATATTACATTATCAAAAAAATATTACAATAATTATTCCAAATAATTCTGCTACTTCAAGTAGAAATGAGATCCATCATCTTAATAAATAGGAGTAGTGCTTCTGTATATGTTTTAACTCCTCGCGGGGCTTTTGGCTTTCCACCGTCGAAGCGTCCGGTGTACCTCAGAATTTTTTATGCCTGCTGGTCCAGCTTTCTCAAGATTCCAGAGCGATTAAAAAAAGCAAAAAAAAAAAAAAAGATTTCTGACGGGTAGTTCCCGTGTCTTCATGAGTTATGACAAATTGACAATCAGACTGGCCGCTGGTATATGAGATTTCCCCAGTAGGAGCACTGTATTATTTTTTATTATTTACTTATTTATTCTTTTTGACCATTGGATATTTGTTTTTCCGTTTTCATGGTACGAAAGACTGGTTGGCTGATTTTACATTAGATGCTTGCGCAGTTTGTAATGGGAGTAGGGCTGCAAATGAGTCGAGTTGAGTCGAATTTTAGTCTAATCGAGTCGAGTTTCGACATAATTTCATTGAACTCGAACTTGAACTCGAGTTTGAGCTTGACGAGCTGACAATCTTAAATTCGAGTTCGAGCTTGAAAAAAATAAAAAATAATTATTTTATTTTTTAAAAAATAAATAAAATAATATTTTTTTTCTTAATAAATAATAAAATATTAAAAATATATGTAATTTTACTATTAAAATTAAAAAAAATATAAAATATACTCCCTCTGTCCTCGCGCTTCGGGAATTGCAATTATTATCAATAGTGCAAGACTTTTAGATGATTTGCTTTTGAGTTCCGGCAATACCCTTGACTTTTAATGTATTCTATGTGGTTGAATGATAAAAGGGCCACAAGTTGTGATAAGACATGTGGGACCTAAAAGATTGAAATGTCTCCACACTACTTTAGAGGAAAATGTCATGCACGGGTGTTATTTGCATTTCACGTGGGAGCCACGAACTATTAAGTGCATGTTGGTACTTGGTAAGTGAGAGGAAATGTGTTACATTGGGCCCACTAAAAGATAAGAAATGACCGTCACATTGAAGGGTATGGAGCGGAAATGTGCGAAAGTTTTCATTGCCAAATTTAGTAAGTGACAATTATTTTGGGACAGATAAAAAAGGAAAGTATGACACTATCAATGAGACGAAGGGAATATATACTTAAAATAAAAAGTATATATATACTTAAAATAAATAAATAAATAAATAAATAAATATATATATATATATATATATATACTCGAGCTCGCGAGCTAACGAATTTAATATTTTGAATTCGAGTTTGAGTTTAATTTCGATTCGAGCCAACTCGAACTCGACTCGAGCCGTTTGCAGCCCTAAATGGGAGTAGCAAATTAAATATGAGTAGTGCGTGTTTGGAATGCACGTTGTTTACATCTTATTTATACACATTAATTTACTTGTATTATTAACATATTTTTAAATTATTTTTTTATCTCACATACATCACATCAAAATAGTGCTACAATATTTTTTCACAAAATTATCTCAAATAATTTACTATCCAAACACTCACTAGAAAAGATATACGTTTGTCCATCGATGAAGTTATTTATCCGATTTTTTTTTTATGAAATCTCATGTTTATGGGATGTCCCAGTTGCGACCCCAACCCAAAACACTCTCATAACACTCGTACTCATGAGTGTGTTTTGGATGGTAAATTATTTGGAATTATTTTATTTTTTAAAAAATATTATAATTTTTTTTGATATAATATGTGTAAAATAAATAAAATTTGACAAATAAGCGCCATTCAAACAAACAGTTGAATCCTTCAACATGCGGGTACGTAGTAACAAGTCAAAGTCGTCGCACGATATAAATTGATAGGTTTTCCTCTTTGTACTGGGAGAATAAAAGTCAGGTGTGATTTATTACATTAATGATTTTGAATATGAGTAAATTTTATATATACTGACAGTGTATATATTATTACTGTTAGATGCACGATGCATGTATAAAATTTGGATTTCAAATTTAAATTTAAATTTTATGTCATGTATCTGTGATAAAAATATATACATTGTCAGTATATAAAATCTTAATTCTTTGAATAGACGTCATATATGTATGATTTAATTTGAAATTTAAATTTGACATTAGATCATGTAACATAATTTAAAACTGTTAGTGTAAAAAAAAAATTTACATACTAATAGTATATAAAAAAATTATCATATAAAAAAAAAGAAGAAAAGTCCAGGGTCCGCTTCCAATTCTCCGGTCCAATTTCTCAGTTGCGGTTTATTTAGACAGGGGACTCCGCTTCCAATTCCCCAGTCCAATTTCTCAGCTGCGGTTAAGTTAGTGCAGCGACGTGGGACCTGCATTTATTAGTTTTATTATTATCAACTACAGCTCAGTCTAGTGCACTGCTGGCTTGGTGCTTCTGCTATTGCGGCTGCTCGTCCAAATTCCGAATCCAAAGCTTCCCCACTCCCATCCTTCCTTTTCCTCCTCTTCCTCGCCCACTTCCACAACGACTCTTGTCAAAGTCTTCCAGCAGCAGCTTTCCACAATTAGGCATGCACCGGGTTTTCCATTCCCATTGATTTATTGATTTTTTTGGAAAAAAGGATCGGTCCAAGAAAGCTCTGAATATCTTATCTTGTTTTAGTTTAGTTTCTACCTTCTCGAGAATAGGAGAAATGGATTACCGTAGCAGCAGAGGACGGGCGCTTCTGCGGGGTTTAAGTTTAGTTTGTTCAGTAGGAGTACTATTCGTGATTTTCTCGTCCGCCGCAGCCGAGCCCTTTCAATGCAACTCCAGCGGCACTTGTGACGCCCTGGTTGATTACGTGCTCCCCAACTCCACCACCCTCTCCCGCGTCCAGACCCTCTTCAACGTCAAGAACCTCACCTCCATCCTGGGCGCCAATAACCTCCCGCTCTCCACCCCTCCCCAACGAACTTTCCCCGCCAACCAGACTCTCAAGATTCCTTTCGCCTGTATCTGCACCAAGGGGGCCACCGGCAAGTCCAACAAGCTCCCCATCTACACCGTGGTCCCCAACGACTTCCTCTACCACATAGCGGCTGAGGTCTTCTCTGGGTTGGTCACTTCCCAGCAAATCCAGGCTACCAATAACATCTCGAATGCCAACCTGATTTATGCGGGCCAGAAGTTGTGGATCCCACTGCCCTGCAGTTGTGACCAAGTGGACGGCCAGATGGTGGTTCACTACGGCTATGCGGTCCCAGCTAGGAGCAGCGTCGACGGAATTGCCCAGCAGTACAATACCACCGCCGATGTTCTGTTGCGCCTCAACGGACTGGCCAGTCCTAATGACCTCAAAGCCGGTGCTATTCTCGATGTTCCTCTTAAAGGTATCACCTTTCTGTTTATTTTTCCCTCCTTTCTCTTCTTGTCTTCTTTTTAAATTAATAAGAAAAGAAAAGAGAAGAACCGAAGACTGAGCGAATTTCAACTGCCATTCCGACTGTGATAGGATACAGCACTACCCACCATTGCAGCTAAGTCAAACTAAAAGAGTCTGTAAAAGTCCTCAGTTTTTTCTAATCACTTCATTACTGCTAGTATTACTACTTTTTATGTATGTATTTACTGATGAGGTTGTAGTTGATGGGTTGAACTGAAGAAATTGAAGTAAAAGAAGTTTACCAGTAGCACTACTAGTTTAGCTTAGATGATGGGTGGCGCCTGACAACTTTGGCTTTGTGTCCCCTCCCTTTGTCTACTCCTCAATTAAGCTGCCGCTGGTCTGGTTGGCGAATCCTACTTTGAAATTGTCTTCCTTCATAATTTCTCAGTGTGGACTGTGACCACGAGTCCTGGCAGATGCTCCTCCGGCCTACTGCTATAGTTCACTTTGGCCTTCAAACCGATTTCTACTTGGAAGCGATTTTTTGGAGCTTCATTGTACTTGGTTATATCCCAGATTGCCTGCTTAAAACCAAGTCCAAGAAGTGAGCCAAAATAAATATACACCGTTTGCTAATTCCGTGATACTAATCTATAATGGTAGCTCAGGTATTCTTATTGTGTGTTGATTATTTAATTTCTCATTCCAAGTGATTTTCCAGTAAGGTGCTTATTTAGAAAGGGTTTTCTTTACCCACATATCCTATCCAGTGCTCTTTTGTGTGCCATTGAATCTACCGAAGTCAAAATCCATATATCCCCAATAGTGGCGTCTTATGGGCTTTTTTTTTTTAATTTTCCAAGATTTAATCTTGGCCAGGTGGTCCAACAAAAACAGCAAGACAAATGTTAGTATTGCACTTACAAAGTTCCCTTCACAAGCATTTTTTTTTTTTTTTTTTTTGACTAATGGTGCCCGTCACCTGCAGCTAAACTAGGGTCCTTAGTTAGCTGTTTCCTAGTAGTGACAAACATCTTTTGGTTTGCTTCTTTGCAGCCTGTGCCTCTATGGTAAGCAATACATCGCTGGACTATCCTTTACTTGTTCCTAATGGAACTTATACCTTGACTGCTACCAATTGTGTAAAGTGTAACTGTGATGCTGCGAACAACTGGACGTAAGTTGATCCGCATTCTTACTCTCTCCGTCTCTGTCAAAAATTTCGTCACCTCAAAGAATCTTAATATTCTCTCGTGTATTATTACTAGTTTTTTGCCCATGTATGGACAGGTTAAACTGCGAGCCATCCCAAATTAAATCATCCGTTTGGTCTTCCTGCCCTAGCATGCAGTGCCAAGGTACAGACAATCTGTACCTTGGCAATACAACATCTTCAAGTTGCAGTCGCTCGACCTGTGCCTATGCTGGTTACTACAACAACCGTACCATTTCCACAACCACAGCCTTGGACTCAACTTGCCCTGGTGAGTGCAATTACCATGTTTTGGTCATTGCTGTGAAATGCTAATTCCTATTTAGAAACGACTTGCTAATATGAAGCGGGTTTTTTAGTGTTTTTTTTTTGTTGGGGGCGGGGGTGGGGTGGAGACTATTAAGGCAGGCAGACTGTTTTTGCGTTCATAGTTGTTGATGTGTGTTTTGTAGCAATCTCTCACAATTGGCCTTCTCTCAGTGGTTGTGATCTGTGATGTAAGGGCATTGCTTCCTTTGTTGACATAGCTTTTGTTATTTGAGGGTATAACTGGTGATCAACTGTTCAATTACTTGTTGATTCTGCCCTCTTGCCTCATTGGATCAGTATGAAAATTGAAAAGAAGAAACAGGGTAACCATAATTGCTTTCTGGCTGGAACTCTGCCTGCTTCCACATGCTGTCATTGCAAGAAAATGTTAACTAGAAAAACTTAGGATTACTTGGCTATAAATGACGCTAAAGTGTTTATAAAGAATTGATGACAGGAATATTCGTGTGAGTTTATCTATATCATACTCGACCTTCGCACAAGTTCAATCGGTTTGATTTAAAAAAAAAAAAGGCATCTGTCACGATTGTCCTGTATATATATCGTACATGCTCGGAAGATGCCATTCTACATCTCGAAATATTGTCTTTATATCTGACCCAGTTTTGATTTTTTCCTCTCTTTTTGTAACTGCAACAGCATCTAATAATAACTCTTCAGCGATGAGCATGCAAGGCAGTTGGAAGAGGAACCTGTGGTTGTTTGTTCTTGTCCAGGTGCTGGTACTTTGTGTCTGGATTTAGCAGTGAGCAAAGAAGAAAATTATGCTCTTGTACACGATCCACGCGGAAATGTAATTGATTCCATGGGAGGAATACTGCTAATAAATGTTATGGTAGGGAGGTAGATGATGATTTGATAAGGTGGGGTGGGTCGGTGGCAAGCATTTGATCCTCCTCGTACTACTTTATAATAAAAAAAAAGTCGAGGACTGTGATTCTTTGTTGTTGCCATTTGCCACAATACAATTCAATACTCTTAAAATGTCCCTCTGCTTTATATTTTGTGTCATTTAACTCTTTGAAAGACAAAAATGTCCCTCTACTGTGATATTTTTCCTTTTTCTTTTATCTCCCTCCTTTTTCCTTATTGGAAAGTAGTTTTCTTTTGTCAAATTTTTACTTTTAAGCAAGTACAAAAAATTATAATAAAAATTTAAGATATCCATTCTCCAATTTATAAAAGTGAAGAAACTCTATGTTTTTTTTGTTGTGTATAAATAGTTAATCATGAGTTAGTTTAAAAAATTTTGAGACAACATTTGTATTTGTATTCTATTTCCTTACAATTAAACGATTCAAAGTTAGTTACCCATTTTTTACAATTACGCAATTTCATGTCAGTTATGTGTTTTTTTTTTCTCTAACAAATTTTTGCTTATTAGCTTCTTTTCTTTGCCCTTTTTTTTTGTTTTGAAAATAATCAATTGTTAGTGTGCTCTTTACTATATATATTACTCCAATACTCCCATGTGAAACTCTATCACTATAAATTAGAGTATTCAAAAGTGAAACACGTGCTGGATTTCATTGGAAAAAGAAAGTGAAAGCCTTAAATATACAAACTTAGCATATAAGATAAGTGCCTTTGTAGTTTTTTTTTTTTTTTCCGGAGACGATAACAATTGCATAATCTATTCTATCCTAAACTACATGGGAGGGGTAGCCTAAAGAGGCTTGATAACAATTGTATAACCTATTCTATCCTAAACTACATGGAAGGGGTAGTCTAAAGAGGCTTGTGTTATGGACTAGTAGGTACACAGACTTTACTAGACCAAATGAATGTTTTTGCACCACTCTTGGATTTTTTTCACTGCACGTAAGATTTAAACCCCCACCTACAGAAGTCCTTCCTTGGTGGCCACTGATCCAAGCTTAGTGGTTGTGAAGTGCTTTTGTAGTCACTAGCCTCAATTGTCAATTATACAGTGCAGTGTAGTGTAAAAAGTAACATTAATAAACGTAGGCACTAATATAATAAATATAGACATCGAAGCAATAAAATACAAAAAACATAACAAAGTTTGGCACTCTTTGAAATTTATATCTCCAAATAAATCTCATCTACTCAATTTCAAATTGAAGACATCATCACTATTAATTGCACCATACAATCCAACCTACAATTATATGAGCCCGTTATTCAAATTATGCCTTACCATTTATACGTTTTTCGTCATTCTTTGGTAGAAAATTTTCACAGAATATTTCCTCTACACCATCTTCAATCAGATTTTACTTCACATCTATATCTATATAAATTTGAGAATGGGGTTTTAGTATGGTTAAGTTAGACTACTTCCAACTCTTCATTCTTTTTTTTTTTGGTAGAATTTTGATTTTTTAAATTATTGTGTATCCTTTCATGCCTTTTGAATACAGAAAGTAAAAAATGACTCCATTTACATAGGAATTTGGTTTTAAATCTATTAATGTGAGGGTAAATAAAAAGGAAACATCACCAAACCTACTAAAAATAAAAAAGTGAACAATAATATTGTACGCTCCAACTTAGTAAGTCTAATTAAAAGGGCAAATTATATAAAAAATAAAATGAAAATAATATTCATTGGTCATGGATTTAAAAATCCAGAATGGTACCATTCATGAAACCTAAATTGTGAAATCACTAACTAAAAAGACAAAGTACTACTAGTCTTCAAATATCGAAATTTGTATTTGAACTTTTTATTTTTGACGAAAAATAATAATAAAAACAACACCAATTCTACCAAAAATAAAAATATAGTTTAAGGGAAAAAAATAGACCATCCCTATATTGTATCTATTTAATTTGTATATATCTGATCCAAATTTTACCCTAATTAAATTTGAATAAAAGTATAAAACAAAAACATTAAGAATAACAGTAGGTATTATTACTTGTTTTATGTATTCTTATCATTTTTTTCATATGTAAATTTGCAACTACTACGTCATTTTTATATAGATATTTTTTTTTTGCAGTAGTCAAGGATATTATAAGATATTATCAGTTTTTTGTTTGCATTTTCAGATACCAATACTATACTATAAAAATTTTAAACCAAAATTGCAGGTTATGGTTTTCTTTTGCTTCAAATTTTGTTTTTTCAATTTTATTTTGAAAGTACAAATATAAGTATATATTAAGTGTAAAACCAAATTCCAAGTTATGGGAATTTTTTCTTTTACTTCAAATTTTAACTCTTCAATTTGGGGGTTGTATAAGGATTCAACTTCTCCTTTGAAAATTTGAAATTATTCAATTAAAAATTTATATGAAAATTACTGAAGTTGGTAACAATTAATCCCATTGATAGTGTAACAACACCAATTTTACTTTATAATAGTGTAACAATTAATAAAAAATGAAAATCCTAATGCATACAGAGCATGATATATACACGTGTGTATGTAATTCTTATAAGAGAAACCTATAGATTTTTATAACATAATATATCTCGAATGAATAACTATAATATTACTTTATTCAGATTGGGCGAATAGAAGAGAATAGAAGAAGTAGAGGAAAGGGAAATGGAGGAGGTTGGGCGTGGGTGATAGAGGTTGAGGGGCTATCCAAGGGTTTGGGAGAATAATGAGGGGAAAGAGATAAAAAATTAAGTGGCGAGAATAGGAAGCTAGAGGCAGGGGAAGAAAATAGTGAGAAGTTAAAGAATGGCGAAAAAAGTCCAAGAAAGAAAGTGAACAACAAAGTTGCGGGAAGACACGAGGGAAGAAAGAAGGGAATTATAGAAATATGTCAGAAATGACCAAAAACGATTGGAAGGATAACACCCTGGTGGGAAGTGTGAAAGTCATAAGAGGCAGTGAATGGCCAGTTGGCAGATAAGAATAAATCGAAAGGGTAATAGTTTTTAATAATTTTGAAAACTCTAACAATATATCTTATAAAAGATTTTTTTTTTGTAATCCATATTAAAGTATATGAAAAACACTATTCTATGAACACTCAACAATTTTAAGGGTACAAAATGGAAGATAATTTTTCTAAAATATAGAAAAATGAATTAGTTATAATTTACGTTTTTACATTATAATTTTTCACATATGAGTATAATATGATATCTTTCGTCGGCTATTGATAAAAAGGTTTACAATTACTCTATCATGTAAATCATTATATATTAAATTATTTTATTCAAATTCTTATCATATATTGAGAGACAATAGGCAAACAACTTTTGGTTTCAATTTATTTAAGATGTTAAAATTAAGAGAGTCCATTTTGTGCTCACAAAGTAATTTTTTTTCTGAACAACTTAAACATACACTTCTTTGAAATTTTTAATATTTTTTATGTACTCTATCATGTACTACAATATTTAAGTATGAGTTATTATTTTAAATTGAAATATAGATCCTTGCATAACACGGGTCAAAATGTTAGTATATAAAATGTTACAAAGTAATTCTTTGTCAAAAACTCTTCATAAATGCAATCCCAACGAGACTATAAGTGACTAAGCCCCTGTTTGATAATTTCATTCAATACTTAAATTTAATAAATTCAGATCTTAATATATTCAGATATGTTTAATAACTAAATAGTGAATATTTGAATCAATCAAGTGACACTGAATTTACTAGGCATAGGCCCTGTTTGGAAGTGCAAGTTTTTAGCAAGTTTGTTTCATACAAGTTTTTTAACAACTTTTGCTACAGGAACCCCAAAAAATTTCACAAAGTTTTTTACCTACACACCTCAAAATACCCAAAACACACAAAAAAAAATTCCCTCCCCTTTTTCTTCTACTTCCTCACCCACTCCAACCCACCACCACCTCCACCACCACCTCCGTCACCCACTCCAACACACCACCATCTCCTATCCCACCTCCCATTTTTCTTCTTCTTCCTCCGTCACCACCACCTTCGTCACCACCACCTCCGTCACCACCTCTTCCAGTGCCCAGCAAGAACAATTAGGCCCCCCATGAATGGAGGTAGCAGAAGTGGAAGGAACACCGCCGGCGACTTTGCCGGTGTCGCAGAAGTGGAAGGAACATTGGCACCGGCGGATGGAACCTCTGCAGTGGCTGGAATTGGAGAACTCGCCGGAATTGGAGAATTTTTTCCCTCTCCCCCTCTTCCTCCCCTGCCATCATCCTCTCGCCTTTTTTTTTTCTCTCTATGTCCGGCGCAGAGGGGGGTGGCGCAGAGAGGGGCGGCGAGGGGGGAGGGGGAAGGCGGGAAGGGGGAAGGAAGGGAGAGAGAGGCGGCGGGGGGATGGGGAAGGGGCAGAGGGGGCTGCGGGAGGGGGAAGGGGGGAGAGAGAGGCGGCGGGGGAGAGAGGGAAGGCGGGGAGGGGAAGGGGCAGAGGGGTGCTGCGGGGGGGGGGAGGGAGGGGAGGAGGGTAGGGAAGGGAGGGGGAAGGGGCAGATGGGAGGGCAGAGGCAGGCAGAGGGCGGCGAGAGGTGGAGTTGCAGCTGGGTGTAGCGGGGAAGAAGAAGAAGAAGAAGAAGAAGAGAGGAAAGAAAAGAAAAAGAAAGAGAAAAAAAAAAGAAAAGGAAAAAAAAAGAAAAAGAAAAAGTTTTTCACCTTACAAAAACTTCTACAAAATTTTTCACCTTATAAAAATTTCTACAAAATTTTTTTAAAAACTCCTACAGTGCACTACAGTAAAATTTTAGACAAACTTTCAAAAAACTCAGGTTCCAAACAGGCCCATAGTTTGCTCCAAAAAATAAGCGATAAACTATTCACTTATTACTGAAATATATAAATTTAAATGTATTAAATTTAATACTTAACAATCGAATAATTTAATGAATTCACAATTTACATTTCAAATTTTAAGGATCGCGGCCCACAAAGCACCGGCACCGGAGAATAGACGGGGTGCGGTCCGTATGATAAGGCAACGCCAACTGGGGAGTCCTTTGCGAAGCCGGCCGCTTCCCAGTTCCCACACCTCCCCCCCCTCTCTCTTCTGCATTCTTAAACCCCCTCAGATGGACGCATAAAATCATACGCTACTGCTACTGTAACTCGCTCTACCATATGATATGAGCGCCAGCTCCGGCATCAACCCAACACACAGTTCA